CGATAGTACCCTTCAGGTCTGTAATATAATTTCTGTAAAGCAATTTCACGATCAAGATCATGAGCTCTTTGTGAGTCAATATAAATTACAAGTGAATCAGAGATTCGAAACTTTGTTTCTTCAATCATAACTTTTATTATTATAAAGAATAAAAAACATGGCAACAATAGCTGAGTTAGCCGATACTATTGATGGCTATTTGGATATTCCAGGAACAAATAGAACGATTTTATCCAATCAAATAAAAAGAGCAACGTGTCAGATACATCGTAAATATAACAATTTGCAAAATGATATAATACGTGAACAACAGGCTAGATATGATGCTGAAGGAGAACGAGATTTAATGCAGTTAGCTTATCAAAATGAAGTAAAAGAACGTCGTCGATGGTATTATTCTTATAAAGATAAGCATAGACATGTTATAAACTTACAACGGGATAAATTTACTTTACATTTATTGTTACAACGATATAAAAGGCAGATAAATTCATGTCATACTGAAAATGGATTGTTAGAATATAACCATGACCGAATTTTTGATAGATATGAAAAATGGAAGAATAAAACGAAAGATGAACGGCAAATAATTTTAAATTTAGAGCAACAAAATTTGGCATTAATAAATAATCAACTTTTAAATCCGAACATGGCAGAAGCAAGACGTTTACCAACATTAAAATATGTATCTACTTTGTTAAATCCAATTCCTCAATATATGACATCTGGCTTTCGGATTCGATATAATCCATAGACTACCGCATTACTATCAAGTTTATCTACCTCAGATAGATTACCAACTTCTCTAACCAGAAATTTCTCATCTATTCCTACCCAAAATCCTGGTTTCGTTTTCTTTGTAAGTATAACGTTTGGACCACCCCCGACGTATTTTCCACCTGCCTTTTTTGATTCACGAATAGGCTCATATTTGTCAATGACTCTAAAACTATACTTCCATTCTCCATCGTATATTGAGTCATCTCGAATGAATTTTACTCTTATTAAGAACTCACCATTATCGATCGCATTTAAAATTTCTCGGGCTCGCCTTTCGGTCATTCCAGCTTCGATTTTTTTTGATTCTATTTGATCTTCCACATATCTCAACCAGTTTTTACTTCCTTTATCTTTTGCCCTATAAGCATCTTCTGCCAATTTTATAATTCCATTAATTTCTTCTTCTGAATAATTCTGATATAGGCATTGTAAAAATATTTCCTGCATAGCTTTATCTTTATTTTCTGCTTCTAATATTACGTGGGCGGTTCAAAAAGTTTTGACACACAGATGTATAAAAATTTATTTACATAATAAATATTAATTTAACTATCCCATTCCTTTAAAATAGTCACCTTTAACCTCTGTACAACATTTCAGCCTTCTACGCCAGCTCTGAAAGCACTCAGCGAATACCCTTCTTTGTATGCTATTGGTTATTAATTTTATAGTATAGGAAGCTCTTGAACCCTCTCAAAACACTCACCATCAAGCCCTTTTTTAATTTTTGGAAATGGAAAATAGTTTCACGGAGCCAGATTAGGACTATAAGGATGGTAGGGAAGCAATATGACTCGTTCTTCTTGAGGTACTTAGTGACGACTTTTGACTTGTGTGGCGCAGCATTGTAGGCACGTGAGGGGACCTATTTAGCACATGCTTTCTTGACAGAAATTCATAATGCAAAATGGTTTTAAGACTTCCAGTGGAGATAGGCATGACTTTCTGAATATTTCAATGCTAATATGGGAGGTTATTATTAATAAGATTTTCACAAGATTAATGTTCGAAAGTGTAACGGCTTCGCGGGAATATCAAGAACGGGGAGTGCATCTTCGATGCTTGATTGTCCGCCTTCGAATGCTTCAATCCAGCGGTAAATGGTACGTTTGGATAGCGCTTTAGTCCCTTCAGCAATGACTAACTCTTTGTGAATGTCGTCCGCCCCTTTACCGTTTTTCCAGCACACCCAGATATTAGTATCATTGATTTTCGCGAGTAAAATTTTTCATTGTTTTCGGTAGACAAATTTCAAAAAAATCTTTCTCGATAACCATCAAATCAAAATGGGTCAAATTTTTTATGTTTAACTCAAGCTTTAATATAGTTATTTACGGAGCTGCGATAATTAGTGGTTGCTGAGATATTTGCACTGTGTCAAAACTTTTTGAACCACCCACGTATACTGGCCAAATCGATGTCTTTAACTTCTGTAAACCAGGTTGAGAAAGCATATTTAGCTCCATCTTCTACCAATTTTATAATTTCATTAATTTCTTGTCCTGAATAATTCCGATATAAGCATTGTAAAGCATAGCTTCATCTTTATTTTCTGCTTCTAATATTATACTGGCAAAATCGATTTCTTTAGCTTTTGTAAACCAGGTTGAGAAAGCATATTCGGCTCCATCTACCTTGAACATATCTTTTGCAGTCCGAATTCCGTTTTGCCATATTACACGATGTTCTTTGTTATCGGGATATGGGACTGGCCATATATCTAAATCCAGAAATCCTCCTTTACTATCTACTCTCAAGTTCATGTCTGGAATTGGTAAGCCAGAGACTTGGCTTTCACGATGTGCTTGGGTTTGAGGGCCTGGACCAGCTTCGGAAGAGGCATAATCTTGAGTTGCTGACTCATCGATTTCTCGCTGTGATAGTTCATGCTGAAACTCAGCTTCCTCAATTTCTGGCTTGTCAAAGAATTCTTGCTCGAATCTTTGCTCTTCTTCTGTTAGAGGTTTTTCTGGAATATATGCTTCTGGATCAACTTGCAATAATTGATCATAAAGACGTTTGCATTGAAATAAATTTTGTGGTTGGGGGTGATCTTCATTAATCACTTCTTTAAGCCTTTTTCGCATTCTCGATCCCCATTGCTTTACAGTTTCATCTGGCTTTCTGGCATTAGGATCCAGTACAGTTACTTGTGGAATAGGCTGAGTATTACGAGATAGTTGCAATAAAGCTTGACATGGTCTATTTCGCGTTAGATCCATATGTTTATTAAGATCTCTTGTTTTCCCGGTTTTAGGGCTCCATCCACATCCTGGGCATTTACCTACCATATTTTCCGGTGTTTTTTATTATATATTAATTATTCAGATCTTTTGTTTAAATAAAAAATATTTATTTCATTTATATATCCTGTCCACTCACAAGTTTGTATCCGGATATGTATAATTAATATTAACTAATTTGTTATATCCCACCTTTCACAGTACCTACTCAAAACCAGATCTTAATTAGGTTAACTATTACGAAGCAATGGCTCTTCGAACCTACTTTCTTTTTCCGAACTAGAGAGGAAAAAGGTTTTATGTTTTGCAGTTTTATTCTCGCCAGCTTAGCAAGAACACTAGTGGACATAAGTGATTACATTTTGATAGTATTTCGATAGCATAACTGGATAACATCGATCCCGCCTTCTCGCAGTATCTGCTCGAAGCCAGAAAAAAAAACAGACAACATATGTGTCGAGACACTAGCTCCGCTATACTGGTAACATATACATCTTTTTTCCGAAAGGCAAAGAGGAAAAAGGATTTTAATAATCTTAGCGCTAAAAACTCGTAGACTGAGGGTGTAAAAATGGATGATGACACACATCAACGTGTCAGGTGTAAAATAAGTTAACTATGCTCCGCTTCGCTTCGCATTCAGAGTCACTACGCTCCTCCGGGATAGTAATCGTTTTAGTAATCAAATTATAAAACTTATAGGTTTTAAGCGTCTTTTTTATTAAGGAAACAAATTATATATCTTAAGTTTTAAATCGCTTTGCTCTGTTAAGAAAACATATTATATAATTTAAGGGTTTTAGATAGATTTCTAATCAAGGAAGCCTAATTATATTTCTTGAGTTTTAAATCGCTTCGCTCTGTCAAGAAAACAAATTGTAGTTCCTGGGCTTCTAGAGGCTGGTTTAAAAAAGAAAAAAACACCGCATCTAGAACGTGTTCCTGGGTATCGATTTCTGATATATAAAAAAAATGTTATCGATTTTGGTGATTTTAAGTAAAATAACTTGCAGACTGAAGGTGAAAAAATAACACGAAAAAACACTAAAAAAATAAAAAAGTCTGCTCGCGCCCCCTGCTGCTTGAGTACATAACTCAAGCCATAAAAAATGACCCAAACAATTCTAAAGCATGGGCATGGCATGGAAAGTATTATGTGCAGCAGTCAGAGTACAAACAAGCTCTTAAAGATCTTAAACAATCACTGAAGATTAATGCAAGTGATTCACTTGCATTAGAAACCAGAGGAAATGTTTATTACATTCTTAATCAGTATGATCTGACTTTGAATGATTGCAACCAATTATTAGAGCTTGAATCAAATAACATATTTGCACTGAGAATAAGGGGGAAAACTTATTCTATGCTTGATGAGTTTAACAATGCATTAATATTAAGAGATTTTAATAAATTATTAGAGCTGGAACCAAATGATGCAAGCACACTAATTGCAAGGGCAGCTGTCTATCTTAATCTTTGTCAGTATGAGGATGCCTTAACAGATATCAACAAACTGTTACAACATAAACCAACTGATATAATGACACGGCATCTAAGAGGGTATATTTATCTTATGCTTGAGAAATATGATTTATTAGACTATGGATTAGATGATCTTGATAAATTATTAGGAATTGATCCAAGTATTACACTTGCTATTACATTGAATGAGATGGAAAACATCAGTCTTAATATTAAATATGGCAATGCATTGAGTAATTTGAAGAAACTTTTAGACACTGAACCAGATAATACACTTGCATTGCAAGTGAGAGGAAAGATTTATTATTTGCTCCAACAACATGAAAATGCATTAAATGATATCAACAAGTTAATAACAATTCAACCAGAAAACAATATTAATATATATACTAATACATTGATTATAAGAATATCTATCTATTTGGATCTTTGTCAGTACAATGAAGCACTGGATGACATTAATAAATGCTTAAAAATTAAACCAAATGGAACTCTTTCCAGGCAGTTATCATCTTTATTTGATCAATTGGAAGCACAAAATTATCAAGTCAGTGTCTATTATTAGATTTTGAAGGATATCAAATTAGAAATGCTGGAGCCATAATTTTGGCGCTTCAAACCTAGTAATTCCGCGACAAATAGTAAAGGTCAATACATGATTCGGCACATAACGTAAAATGAGTTTGATTGTATTACCGTCAGAGGCGGTAGCTTTATTCACATCCGCGTTGCGTATATTTTCGATTGCTGTCCTGGCCGTACGATGTTTCTAATAGAATAGTCAGTAAAATTATTGCAACGGTTTATTTCTAGGTTTCCTTTATGACTCACCTCTAGTGCGTGTAGTGTCTGAGCTACCAAAGAAAAATTGGAGTTATCATCATGATCATTCCCTTCATTATCGTCAATTTCATCTATGTTATCCGCGGACTTTTCTTCTTCGCCCTCCATTCCATTCATTAGTTTTGCATCTTCAGATTGTTTTTCTAGTTCTTGTTCCTCCCGGGATTGTCTTTTTACCTGAATCGAAGATTGTAGAAAAGTCAATTATTATAGTTTATAAAAGTACTCCAAAACATGTCTGTATCACTAACTCTCTTAGGCTCTGGGGAATCCGAGAAATCTGGGTCCTGGTTTTCATCATAATGTACTTTGTTTTTCCTTTCTCTCAACTTCATCCTGGAAGGCGGATTTCCTTTCTAAAGAAAGCCAACATAGTCATGATTATAAAAATTTTCATAGCTTAAATTCAAAGCTTGCAAATTCTACCTCGAGCGGAACGGAATTATATATATTTTTTATTCTCCCATCATAAACAGTCCCGTTGTTAGTTTCATAATTCGTAAATTTCGGCTTGTGGATATGTATCTTTTGCCAAGGATTCTGCTCCCACATTTTCGCTACTTTGTGATCGGGCTGTGAACCCTTAAATAAAAAAATTGGCCAATTAGTATTATTCTCAAACGTCTTATTCTCGTCCCATCCGAACATCAGCCAAACTAAGAGATTGCCTGTGCCAGATGGGTCCAGTGTCAGGTCGACTAAGAGACTTGAACAACAGACAAACTAAGAGATTGCCTGTGCCCTAACGCTGGTTTTGTGGCTCGACTAAGAGACTTGAATGGCGAAGAAACTAAGAGATTCTCGCCACGCCACTTTTTTTCCTGACATTTCCAACAAAAAAAAATACTTGCTTTTTTATATCTATCGAGTAAATACTGTGCCTTTTCGCGTCGCTTTCCCTGATCAGTGTTAACAATGTTCTGAAGGCTTTTTAGATATATATTGATGCTTGGTACGGTTCTTCATTGCATTCTTTTAGAAACCCTGTAATACACCAAATGGTATGTTTTTTATTAAAATATTTGTTAATCGCGTTATCAGACATTTGTTATGGAGAGAGTTTTACACTAGGGGATAGTTAAATATATTAGACCCACTTATGGTTACACGAGATAGTAAATGTCATGCTGATGCTGAGAATCACATGGCTAAGATTTCAGTCGTCAAAATTTTTCCGAACCCACTACCCGATGGGATATAATAGCAGAAATTATCATGAGTTATATCAGTTTTAAAATGTAAATATATCTCAAGTTTGAAAAAAGATAGTATATGCAATCCAGATCCAGATTCAATCAATGTATAATATAGCATATTTTTCTGGCTTCGAGTGATAAAGTCACGAGAAGACGGGATTTTCGTGTAAATATATGAGATCAGGGGTTTTTTGTTGGCATGTTCCATGAGACTGTGTCATTTCTCCGAAATACAGTGAACCCTCCATAAATGCACGCATTTATGGAGGGTGTGCATTTATAGAGAGTAAGAATTTGATTGGTTGCACGTGAAATTAGGAAATAAGTAAATATCATTGGTTATTTATTATTTAAAAAATTGATCGCAGTCGTTTTTCTTAGATTAATGTCAAGAGCTTTGATATGTTTGAATAGTTCCTCAGCATTGTTTTGTTGTTGTAGGAAATTATGGACTATTTCTAAGCTTTTTGAAGCCTCGTTAACACTAATTATTTTGGGCTCAATACTGTCATCGGCTTCTTCGCTATTGCTATCGGTAGGTAAATCTGACTGTTTTCTATATAATTCAACAAGTTCTTCATTGTCTGAACTACATAAACTTCGTCTTCTTCCGGGTTACTCAAAAATTCTTCATGACATAGTATCAGGAAGGTTGAGAGATGTAAGTATCAGAGAGAGCTCTCCTAGCGTATTGGTTATATCAGAGTCGGGGCGGTAGTTGTAGTTGGGAGAATTTTCGTATGATTCCAACAGTTTCGGATTGTTTCTGGTGTGATTTCATCTCAGCTTCTAATAATAAAACGTATTGCTTGCAGTACATCCATTTTATGTCGTTTCCTTCTTTATTTGGTCTTTGTCTATTATCAAGGCACAGTAATTTCTTTATTTGGTCTTTGTCGATAATCGGGGCACAGTAATTTCTTTATTTGGTCTTTGTTTATAATCAGCGGGTACAAATTTTGTGTGTAATTTCTTAATGTAACACTATCGATATCACGTGAAGTCACGGGCATGCATTTAGAGAGGCGAGGTTTATTATGATGGGGATTCGAAAAGACCGTGCAGTGTAGAATATGGAGGGTGTGCATTTATGGAGGGTGTGCATTTATGGAGGGTGGAGGGTTCACTGTAATAACAATTATTGTTTTGTTGGCATGTAACACTATTTTTCTTAAATCTATTACTATTGGCTGATTGCGGTCATGTTTTATAATCAAATCGTTTTCATTTTCATTCAATTCTCCCGTTTGAAAGTAATTATAATGGGCAACGTATTAGCAGTTGCAGTAGTAGGAGTTGTTTCAACTATTTCAACTCTTATCACAGCTATTATTTCTTCTCCAAGGCGACAGAACTCTACGGTCACGGCAATCGATACCAGCCTGAAGGAGGCGGAGGCAAAGGCAAAGACGGAGGAGTTGAAAAAGGAGTTGAAAAAGGCACAAGATGCCTGGTTCCAAGGCATTCCTCCAGACAAAATGCCAGACGAAGAGCAAGTTAAAAGGCCAAGTCTATGCTCAAAGACCCTAATGGCCTTTTTTACCATTTCGCTGTTGCTGGATATACTGGTACTGGG